TTCATTCTTTTCCTCTGCATAGTAACTTTTAGGTTACCGTGTAGTAACAAAAATAAAAGATCGTTTTTGTGAAGTATTTGTATTCTCTGAACAATTAGTTGCTATTTATGATTAACAAATCATATGATGGGATGATATCTGTACTTTCTCATTATATACCAATTGTGGAAAAACAAACACATGGTAATAATTCTAATAACGTAAAGTTAAGGTGAAAGTCAGTGGGCGTGCACTGTATTTGCTGATTATAATGACAAAATATCGTATGCACAATGTGTATCTGCATTTTGTGGTGGACCATCTTATCAACCGATTACATTTACTAGTCGTTGTCCAGGACGTATTGCACCAGCACATTGGCCAAAAATATTTGGATGGAGTAAAATTTTTCAACTAGATACTGAACAAGGAAAACCATATAATAAAGCCATCGTCGAAATGTATCAAATAATAAAACAACATAATTGGTACTTGCAGTCGATGATTGGAATAAGTTAAAGATGACGTTAATAAACATCTAGAATATCCTTCATATTTATGTTTGCATTTGATTTTCGTAAGAGAATATTTTGTCTTTTTATCAGAACAAAAAAGAAAAGACTAGTATATATTCAGTTCATGTCAAACGATCATACGACTCATCATAATGGACATAAGGAAAGAAGCAGCAATAGTAAAAGAATATAACGAGTATGAGAGTTTTGATTATAAAACAAGAAGAAATATCGAGATATAAATAATATACAAATGATTCAAAAAAAAATAGAGCACTTGACATCATTAAATATAAAGTTACAACCAGTCCATCATTGATATAGTCAGACTTACAATATAAAAATAATAAAAATTTAATTCGTTTTACAATTAAATCTATTATTTCACATGATAAAGTTAATGATGAAAGTTATGAAAGTAATACTGTTCTGTTAGAATTAAGAAATAAACTTGATTTCGATCATTCAAATATTGGATTTATTCAATTATCAACAAATAATATGTCAATATATCTATATGAACCAATGAATAGTACTGAAATAGTTTGGAGATATCTACAACAAGATGGCTTATTATCTTATACTCTTCATCAAGTATAATTATCTATTATATGACATATAAATACATACTACCATAACGTTGTACAAAATAATATTATTCAAGTATCTGAAGGTTTTATTCAAGGTTGTACAGATATACACAGAAAGGCGACCGGTAAAGAATAACTACGTTTAAATATTATTTTCAATGTCTAAAATATTATTATGGTGGATTTTTGATAGTTTATCATTCAAAAAATGATACATGCTATCTAAGAAAAGTAGCTTCATATGAATATGAATGTGCAATAGCAGAATATCTTGATGTATGTATACTTGTCGGAGTATGTTTGTGAGTTGGATTAATACTCTTATAAATGATACAGATTCTGAATATCAAGTATCAATGAAATCAATATTTTATGCTATGTTATTATGATTTTTCTTGTGTATTAATTTGTCTTTCCATTTGAAACTGATTTTTTTTAAAATTTATTTTAAGAATAAACAAGCTTTTCTCTTTTGTTTCTAAGTATATAAACTAAGAATGGTTATATTATTAAACGAAATATGTTCAATTAATGATAATACAAGAAATACGAGTGAGTTTATCATTTTTCTACGTTTATTCAAAAAGGAGACGTATAAACTTTTGATATGTTCAATAAACCATTTTCAAACACAAAAGAAAAGGAGCTCAAACTATGTAGAAACATTCTTTTGTTCTTTTCTATTCGTAGACTGACATTGGCAAACACTACTATGCGATAATAATATACCTTCCTTCTCCATTGTATTGCAATGTTAGTCATATTACTATAGGAAGAAAAAAAGAACAGCGAAAGTATTTATACACAACTGTAACTTTTTTTTTTTTCGTATTTGAAAATGGTTTATTGAACACATCGAAAGTTTATATGTTATCTCTTTGAATAAAAGTAGAAGAATAATAAATATACTCGAATTACTAGTGCTATCAAAAGAAAAATATCGATATGTTGAATGAAGTTTATTTTCGATTGTATGATTGTTTTTGTGTAGTTTTGAATAGATCAATTAGTCATGATAATCATGAAATTCATCTAGATTAAACATATGAATATATGTCTAGTACGTAATTTAATGAATGGTATTTCTTTATCAGGTTTGTTATTATCTTCTAAAGTTTGATTATCATAAGAACCTTGTCTATGATATTCACCTTCTTGATGATTTTATTCGATAGTAGGATTTATCGAATCGTCATGTCCTTCATTATCAGTATTGTTTGATAGTTTAGATTATTGTTATAGAGCTTGAATATCATTGAGCCCATTCATGTTGAAAAAGACAACAATGACAAAGACAAAGTAAGAGCAAAATCAGCTAAGAAAAGAAAAAAATACACTAACCAAGGATAAAGCAATTATGTTGATCGCATATCCATTTATGTTATCGAATGATATTTCTCTGTCCAATTTACATATTCACATAAATTTTTTTATTATTGCGTTTCTGTTTACTTATCTTTACAATGTTGTGTTGCCTTGAATAAACATTTTCCCTAATATTATTATTAATATTTGGATCATAAATCATTTTTCTATACAAATAAAATTACATGCTGCATCATGATTATGGACATAAAACATGCCTAGTCAAAAAACGAGGCCCATAAAATATCAAAGCTAGTCATTAGTATTTTTTGCCAAAATCATACAATCATATGTTAACGAAAAGAGTATGTTGCTATCAACACTTTAGCACTAAGTTCATGAGTTTTCAATCGAATTTGGAAACCTAAAAACTATAAACAATGTAATGCATTTTTAGTCATTATTATTATGATTTATTTTATCACTGTGGATTCAATCTGAGAATAAATATACGAAACAAAATACCACTGAACTTATGAATTTTAAAGCTCTTAGGTTCGATGCACTAGTAGATCCTGTTGTCATATTGACTGTATTTATCAAACGCCCTTATCTTTGTAGAAATATTTTACTTCAAAAATTGAAATAATCGAAGTTCTGCAGTTATTCTTTGCATAACCCTTCAAAAAGATGCAAAATGATGTATTTTTCAAAGTTAAAAACATTCGGTTACCTGAAAAATTCCTTAGTACACTATTCTTCAAGCTCAGTTTTGTATCTTTTTGCTCAACACCTACAAAATTCTGATCCAAAAAGTTCACTTCGAGCCAAAAATATTATGACAATAGAAATCTATATTAAAAACTCAGTTGATCTGTATGTAGTTTAAAGAATTTCAAGAATGTTTTTTTTTTGTTGGAAAGTTTAATTCTGATCTCTGTCTGCGACTAAACGAAAAATAAACTGCGTCAAACCATAATCTAAACATCATAAAGAAACTATGAAAATTATCGAAAAATATTAAATAACAAAATGGTAGAAATATACTAATAGTGTTTGTCAGCACATTGCAAGTGTACATCATGAAATTAAACCATCAACTGATAACTTATAAAGTTCAGTTTGGAATCAAGTTAAGATTAGAATAACATTTCTTTGTAATTTTGCTAATGGACACATTATTCACCTATAAACATAGAAACATTGTTTATGCAGTGAGTTAATATTTGTTTTGTTTTTGTACAATGAGTATTAATTTTCCTTATAATTTTTCGTTTTTATAATGGGAACATGGAGATATTGAATGATTTATAAATTTTCAACAACTAAGAAATAGAATTCTTTTCAATCGATTTATAGAAAAAAAAAGATTCCCATTCATAATTCTCAAACAAATAATAGAATAGTGAAAACTGAAATTCCATATAGGTATTTTATACTTTTTAAAAACAATTGCATCGAACGTATAATCAGCAAGGGCGAAGTGAGGAAGATTTATAAAAGTAAACTTGTCTTATATCAGATGTATGCTTTATGATTACGATGTGAGAGCATAGTCAATGATTATTAATATTCATGAAATTAAAAGTTAATTTTTTTTCTATAAATAGTAATATTGATGGTATATAATACATAATGGTTCTTACAGAAAAAAATGTACGATTAAGTGAATGTGACTGAATCGCTTAATTTCAAAAAGTAAAATACATAAATATTTACAAAAACGATGCAATAATTCTAAATGAAGTAATTATTTTAATAATAGCAAAACTTGAATACAACAAAGGAAACATGAATTACTATATAATGCATATAATCAAAGAATAGAACATTCAAAAAACTGTAATACACACAACAAAAAATCGTCGATTTTTTTATTAGTAATAGGGCACATTTAGAAAAAATTTCTTTTTTACTATTGTGTTTAATGTGAGCTTTTTCTGTAAACTATTATCCAAATTAATTATTTCACATTTTTCTATGAAGCTTTATTACTATTAGAAAATCTTCTTCTCTTTCTAAGGAAATTATTTTAGAATTATTTCGTACTTTCCAAACTGAACTGAATTCTCATATCAACTGTGACATGCATGTGGGATTGAAGATGCATCAAACAGCCATAAACTTTATAATTTCAGTAGTATTTTATTGTCTATCTGTTCTTTGATTGAATCCACAATGAAAAGATGAGTTATTAAAATAATGACTGAAGATACGTTACCTTGTTTATAGTGTTTAGAATTCAAATTCGATTGAAACCTCATAAAACTTGTACCAATATGTTGGTATCAACGTATAATATCTATTGATATATAACTCTATGGAATTGACCTTAAAAAAATAGGAGTATATCGATTTAACGGCACATTTGTCCTTGTCCTTGATTAATGAATGTTTTGCTTTAAGAGCAATAGCTCGACATGTCGCTTTGTTCGTATAGAAAAAAATCCATGACTAGTTACGCTCTAAAGATTGCCAATAACATTAGCAAGCCTGTCAGATTCACATATCAACACAAAACTACAAATGAGTAGGCATAAAATTACCAGCTAACAACGTATATAAATACGCAGATTCGACAAGCAAATATCATTCGATTACATATACAAACATGCGATCAACATTAATTGTTTTATCATTGGTTAGTATATTATTTGTTTTCTTTCTTTTCTTTTTTTTATCTAATTGTGCTTTTAGTTTCTCTTGGTCATTGTTGCTTTCTCTGTATCTCATGGGTTCAATCATCATCGAATATCAGAAAAAAACCCAAAACGGCGACACCATCATCGTCATTGGAAACATCATCATCATTGTAAACATCATCATTGGATGAAGCACAGACATCATCACAGACATGATGAAGATGACAGTTGTGAAGAAGAACCCAGTGGCCAACGTGGTCCAGGTAGCCGAGACAGGCTCGGTAGACACGGTGGCCCAGGTGGACAAGGCGGACCTGGTAGACAAGGTGGTCCAGGTGGACAAGGCAGACCCGGTGGGCAAGGTGGTCCAGGCGGTCAAGGCAGACCCGGTGGGCAAGGCGGCCCTGGTGGACAAGGTAGTCCGGGCGGTCAAGGCAGACCCGGTGGCCCAGGTGGCCAAGGTAGTCCAGGCAGACCCGGTGGACAAGGTGGCTCAGGTGGACCAGGTAGCTCAGGCGGTCAAGGCAGATCCGGTTGGCAAGGCGGCCCAGGTGGACAAGGTAGTCCAGGCAGACCCGGTGGACAAGGTAGTCCAGGCAGACCCGGTGGACAAGGTGGTCCAGGTGGACAAGGTAGTCCAGGCGGTCAAGGCACACCAGGTGGACAAGGCGGTCCAGGTGGTCAACGCAGACCCGCTGGCCGAGGCAGACCTCCTGGCCGAGGCAGACCTCCTGGCCGAGGCAGACCCCCTGGCCGAGGCAGACACCCTGGTCGAGGCAGACACCCTGGCCATGGCAGGTTCGGTGCCAACAACCAACAAGCAGGAAATCGTGTTGGAGGCGGTAAATAATCCTGTAAGTGAATATTATTCGTCAAATACTATACACACATTTCTATGTTGAATCTAGGTGGATCTGGTACTGGTGATAACTAATTGATCACGTAAAGAAAAGGCTCAATGATCCAATTGAAAATAGACTATAATTGCGATATCGACATATTTTTCACTTATGTAATTAAAAAATAATAGACGGAGTTTTCTGCTTTTGAAATAAACACAAAAATGTTATCTTCAGATAAAAAGACAAAGTTGTACAACATTAGATTAATGCCTATATAGAGGATGTCGGTTTCATTGATGGTAGGCATTCAGAAATGGTTATCAGTTGTCTGAGTATTAGTCTAATTCAGAAACATACTCACACACATACATATACAAAGATATTCTGCTACCGTGCATCCAGGATCATATGAAGTTATTGTTGGAATATTTCATGTATCGCTCTCTGAATCATAAATCATCACAAGTTTACAACTAGAGTATTTCAGAAATAAAAAATTATGTTCACAATTATTTATTCTTTACCTATTCCTTTGATCTGTATCTTTACCAGCTCGGATTAAACCTTCAAGAATTTTAATAATATTATCATATACAACGTTATGAAAGTATTCATTCCTATGTAATATAGTAGGTATTTGTATTTTTTAAAGGGTGAGGAATGATAAAACCATCGTATCCTGAAATGTTACCAACCTATTGCGGTACCATTCATTGGTTCGTGTGGATATATTGTAATATTCTTTTGGTTGAAAATAAAGAAACGGAATGTTTGAATCATTGAAGTCAAAATGGATTGTTAATTCTAATAAAACAATATAATTTTCATAGGTTTGATCATGAAACTCACCACGTAAAATAATAGATTTAATTGTGTATCGATTTGACTTTCTATCATTTTTATATTGAACACCAGCAACAAAAATATAATTTGAAATTCGTGTTGATTTTATACTATGAAAACAATGAGCAGCTGCTATTGCATATTTAGTATCAATGGAAGTTCCACCATAAAAAAGAGAATCCGCATTTATTGATGATTTACTAGCTTTTGATTGACGAAGGCTTATATTTTATTTAATATAGATTTATCATGGATAACTAAAAATTGGCATTTGCCAATTTATGGCCATGAATGATTTACAGCTGTATAATCACCAAATATTGTTGACTGGTAAAGAATAGGTTGCACATGTGAACATCTACATTGCTCCGATGACATTCCACATAATGATAAATATGAATGAATTAGTTAGAGCATACCAAAAGCAGTGATGAAGCTATATTAATTCCTTATAGAATGCTAGAAGAAATTTTGTTTTTATGTAGGCTGATAACACAAACAAAGCTCTACATTTCTACATCATTTGATCATTATTCATCTCATATGATAATATAAAATCTCCATTACACTTCTTTAACTATGATATGTAGCGTTAACATTAGTCCTTATTGTCTTCGATATGTATTCTCGTCTTAATCTTCTCTTTGTTCTTCTCTTCTGTTTTCTTTATTCTTTTTTCTCTCGTTGAATGCCTCACCGTTTGTATATATACAAAAATATACAAAAAGTAGTGGCGATAGAACAAAAAAGTCATATAGAAACCAGCTCAACAAGTTTTTGATAAAATGTTCGAAATAATTACCCTTCCTTGTTATCTACACACTATTGCAGTCGTTGAATCCATTTATGGAATGTTTTTATACTTTTATTTATTCAAAGAGTTCATGAAACTCTCATCTTTACCTTTATCCTCAAGAACACAGAGAAGATCAAGACGAGAATATACATCGATGACAATAAGGACTAACGTTAACGTTACATATCATAGTTGAAGAAGTGTAATGGAGATTTTATTATTATGATATGAGATGAATAATGATTAAATGGTGTAGAAATGTAGAGGTTTGTTTTTACTATCAGTCTATGCAGAAAGGAAATTTCTTCAAGCCTTCCAAAAGAAATTGATACAGCTTCGTCACTACTTTTGACATACTCGGAGTAAAAAGGCAAATATATAAAAATAGACTGCCACTCGAGCTTCGTTCTAGTACAAAAAAGGCGACTGACTACAGCAAGTGCAGCGCTGGACTCATTGCTTTTCGTCCACTAATGAGGGAACCTTCCCAGGTACTCCCCTCGGATTTCAGTGAATTTTTGTCCACAGATACTAGATAGTGCCCTGATAGAAGCTCTGAAAGAATATGAGTGCATGGCGGTTCCTTCAAAATTAATATTTGTTTTTGTTTTGCCCCTATAAGGCAAAATATACAATACATGAGAAAGGATTTCTGACAGGAACTACCACGTAGGCCGCCGCTAAAATTTTGATCTTCGATTTAATTATCCGAAACAGTAGACTATCATTAGAATGCTTCAAATCCAAAATATTAGCTCTTTCTAACTGTTGCACTTAAATCCCCTCAGGGTTTTTGTTAGGGCACTCTGTAGTATCTATGGGCAAAAATTCATTGAAATCCAAGGTGGACATCCGAGAAGATTTTCTCATAAGCCATCATGCTCAAAATCTCTCTAGATCTGCAAGACTACCATAGAAGTTTTCAGTCACAAAAAAAACATACTTAAAATATATATTCATTAGACATGTAAGATATTAATAGTCACCTCAAGATTGAATTATGCACTGCCACATAATAAAATTATCAGCTAGTAATTATCGTTTTTCTGCATATGTATTTCAATTGTTTAGCCATTATTGGAAAAATTTTTGCAAAATGTTTGAATCCGTGGTGGACGATTTTAAGTCGCACAAGGTGATAATTAAAATATGTAAGCTTTGGACATCTTAGATATGAATGGTCATCTAAGATTGAATCGTGCATCACCATAAAAGGGAAAGATCATCTGTTAATAATTTTTTTCGGATTTTTGATACGAAACGATACTCAGGTGCTGAGAACGAGTGGCTGATTTGAATCATGACTCATGCATTGAGAAGAAAAGGAAGAAGAGATTTTGCCCTGACCACTATGTGAGTGAAAAGCAATAAGACGACTGACTGCGGTGGTGCAGCCAGTCGACTTACTGAAACAGTCTTTTATTTATATAACACACGGACTGTTTCAAGTCTGATTGTATACATGATGGATTGATTACGACTTTATGTATAGTGATGTCACATGTTTATTCTTCTTTCTCTTATCATTTCTATATTATTTATATTGTGATATCTCTCCTTATTTTCAAAGCGAAATTCCTACACTTGTTGTATTCTTTTAGTACAACTATTTCTTCGCTTAAATCATTTACAATGGATCATACGATCGTTTAACATAAATAGAATATGTGATCATCTTTGTTTTGCTTCGATAAAAAACAGAGTATTCTTCTAAGAAAAGAAAATCAAGGAAAAACAAACTGATTTTGTGATTTCCATGATTTTGAGTGATTTCATATATTTTCATGGGATATCGAGTGATTTCAAGAGATTTCTTATGATCTCAAATGGTTTCCTTGGTTTCTGGTAATTTCAAATTGGTTTCATATTTTGCAATCAAATTTGTTCTCTCTTGAGGCCACTCTGAAATCTGAGTTGGATCTAAATTTTTTCTGGGCCAATCTTGAATTCTAGAATGGCCTAGTCCAAACTTGAAACTGACTTCGAATCATTGACAATTCATCGAGCAGAAAATGTGATTATTTTTACAAGTACTCTGGTTGCTGTCACATCCTCCGGTACCCAAACAAAAGATGGCGTTGATCAAGTCTTAAACATAACATTTGAATGAAGTGTTCTTGAATATTCCATGTTAAACTGCCTATTGTATATGACCTGTTTTATTAGATACAGCACACAAGTTCACTACAATATTCTTTACCTATCATTCATCAATAATCTCATGAACAAATGCAAGTTTAGCGCTTTTATTCGGGTACCAGCTTACATCGGATTGACACTCTATAGCTCTCATTCATCATCTCCCCGAATGCTAGTATATTTATAACATAGCTGATCCTTTTGTTGAAAATTAGATGTGTAAATGGAAAACTTCATCCTAGTTTGTCCTAGGTGAATCTTAGATTGGCATGGAGATATAGAATATCGTAATATGGACTAGGCAAATCCTACGTTGACCTGAATTTGAGGTAGGTCTCTGATATATATTTTTCTAAAGAACAACCATTTCGAATAATAAAACTAATTACAATACTATACAAGAGTAAAAAAAATGATAAACAACATCTATATAATTATTACACTGAATGTTTTACAAACAATATCATTTGTTTTTCTATTATTCATTTGTAATTCAATGACATTCATATTTATTGATAAATACTTTTATTTTAAAATCAATATTTTTTTCTATTGTTAATTAAACAGATTGAAAACATATTGTTCTCATTTATAGTATATTCACAATATCCAAAAAAAGTAGATCAAGAAACTTTCTGATTAAATCACACACATTCGAAAAACAAAGAACTATTGCATTTTATTTGGTTTCTTTTTTTTTGTGCACGAAATAAGGCATTGAGCAAAGAAGATTATTTTACAAAATATTCAAAGCACAGAAAGACAGACAAAAAGTTTTAAGTTTCTGATGTATCATCTGATGATGGAATATTCAAAGTATAGAACTGAGGTTGTTTTCAAAATGGCTTAAATCGTTATAGAAGATCAAGATTATTCATACAGTCTCCACTTATTTGTCCAGCTATTACAAAGCGGGCTATAGGTTTTAATGATGATATATACGCAAGACGTGATACTGGATATAGAAGACGAACAAATATTATTAAATGACTTGTGGACAAAACAATTGCGAGCTATATTTAGTAGAATTTACTAATTCTGATATAAGAGAAGTGGGAAAGTTTTGGCACAAGATATTTGTTCACTTTTGCCGCATTTTCAATAAGTGAAAAACAATGAGTTAATATGCTCTTTTCTAATAAGATCTTAAAAATTTTGTCTCCGGTTTTGATTCGAAAATTGAGAAGTAATCTTCTAAAAGCTCAAAACTTTACTTTGAAGGGAAATTGT